TGAACCAAGTATTACACTGCAATTTAAAAAGATAGTTACTATATAAATAGTAGGGAGACCTGGTGTGGCGCTGTGGGTTAATGCGCCAGACAGCAAAGGTGTTTGAACTACAAAGCTGGTGGTTTAAGCTCACCAGCTGCTCCTCGAAAACCCTATTCAGGGTCGCTATGGTTCAGAGCCAACTCGATGGCACTTCACAACAACAGCAGTATAAATAGTAATAATAAATATTTTCATATTTTTTACAGACTGAATTCTGAAAATTATTGACTAAATTATTAATCCCAACAAGCAGGCATACTGTACTTTATGAATTGAGGTAATAACAGAGAGTCTGCATTTTCTTGTTCTCAGTGTATGCCTTTTCTCTTCCTGTGCAGTGTGTGCATGGATTCAAATGATGATACAAAGGCTGTTTTGCTGGCACAGGTGGAATCACAGGAGAATGTTTTCCTCCCAAGCAAATGGCAACATTTAGTACTCACCTACTTACAGCAGTCACAAGGGAAAAAAAACACCCATGGGACACTCTCCATATGGGTCTCTGGACAGAGGTATGAAGCATTTTTAGAAAGTAAATCTATTTAAACTGAATCTGGTATCGTTTTTGAAGGAGACTGCAGAAAATTATAGGTTATTTTTTTTTCCCATTAAATATTTAACACATTCATTGGAGATTTTTTTTTCCATTAAATATTTAACACATTCATTGGGAGATTAATATTTTGGGCATGGGGGAACACGAACAAACATGGACATTTAGACATTTATGTACGGTATATATTAGATCAAGGAATAGGATCTATAATTTGGTTCTTCAGACCCATACATTAAAAAATGACTTACTTAAATTAAGTAGCTAATAAAGCTGATCTAAATTAAATCAAACTTTCAAAAGAAATTAGAATGTATCTTATATTTTTAGTCAAACTATTTATTAAGGGTTTTTTGAGTTCTCAAGTCAGTGTTGAACAAGAAAATAGAACATATAAGCCTTGTTTTAAATATATATATATATTTGGGAAAAGGGCACATATGTTTGTGAGACAACTAGAGAAACTACAAACCAACATATCAAATGATATGTTAAGCTACAAAACTGACCGCCATTGAACTGATTTCAACTCACAGCGACCCTGTAGACAGAAGACAGCTGCTCCACCGAGTTCCCAAGGCTGTAAATCTTTATGGGAACAGAATGTCTCATCTTCCTCCCATGGAGCAGATGGCGGGTTTGAACCATTGACCTTTTGGTTAGCTGCAAAATGCTTAACCTACTGTATCATCAGGGCTCCATCACTCTGTCAGTTTATCATACTGTGGTGGCTTGCATGTTGCTGTTATTCAGGAAGCTATGCCACTTGTAAGGAACTCTGATAACGTAGTGGTTACGAATTGGGCTGTTAACCTTAAGGTCGGCAGTTCGAAACTACCAAATGTTCTGCGGGAGAAAGATGAGGCATTCTGCTCCCGTAAAGATTTGCAGCCTCGGAAACCCTGTGCAGGTTCACTATGAGTCGGAACTGACTCCATGGTACTTAACAAAAACAACAACATGCCACTTGTATTTTAAATACCAGCAGGGTCACCCATGATGGACAGGTTTCAGCTAAGCTTCAGACTAAGACAGACTAGGAAGAAGGAGAGATGGACTACTTCTGAATGTTTAGTCACTGAAAACCTTATGAATAGCAGTGGAATACTATCAGATAGCACCAGAATATTGAATAATGAAACATGATAAAGAGCACCAGAATATTGTCAGACATAGTTGGAAAATGAGCCTCTCAGATTGGAAGGCACTCAAAATAAGACTGGGGAAGAGCTGCCTCTCCCCTAAGTAGAGTTGACAATATTGATGCAAAGGGAGTAAAGTTTTGGGAACCATATCATCAGGAAAAAGACTGTGGAACAGACCATCCATTGCTCATATGCAAATTCAGGCTGAAATTGAAGAAAATTAAAACAGGTCCACAGGAGCCAAAATGTGACTTAGAACATATCCCACTTGAATTTAGAGATGATCTCAGGATGAATTAGATACTTATGACCAAAGACAACAAGAGTTATGGGGTGACATCAAGAACATCATACAGGAAGAAAGCAAAGGGTCATTAAGAAGACAAGAAAGAAGGAAAAGACCAAAATAGATGCGAGAAGAGACTCTGAAATTTGTGCTCCAGTGTAGAGAAAGCTAAAGCAAATGGAAGAAGTAAGGAGGCAAAACTGCTGAACAGAACATTTTAAAGGTCAGCTGGAGAAGACAAAATCAAATGTTATAATGAAATGCACAAAGACCTGGAGTTAGAAAACCAAAAGAGAAGAAAACACTCAGCATTTCTTAAGCTGAAAGAAGTGGAGAAAAAAAATCAGATCTCAACTTGCAATTTGATGCCCTCTGTTTGCAAAATATTGAGTGATGCAGAAAGCATCAAACGAAGAAGGCATACACAGAGTCAGCGTACCAAAAATAAACGGTTGATGTTCAACCATTTCAAGAGCTAGCGTATGATCAAGAGTCAATGATATCAAAATAAGAAGAAGCCCCAGGTGCCCTGAAGCCATTGACAAAGAACAAGGCTCTGGGAATTGGTAGAATACAAACTGAAACCTTTCAACAAACTCATGCAGCACTGGAGGCACTCAGTACCCATTCAAAAGAGAGGTGATGCAATGGAATGCGGAAATCATCAGACAATATAATTAATATCACATGCAAGTAAAATTTTGCTAAAGACAATTCAAAAATGGCTGCAGCAGTATATTGCCAAGGTTCAGTCTGGATTCAGACGGGGACATGGAATAAGGGATATCATTGCTGACATCAGATGGATCTTGCCTGAAAGCAGAGAATACCAGAAAGATGTTTACCTGTACTTTATTGACTATGCAAAGGCTTAGTTGATTATATGAATCAGGATAAGATATGAATAACATTACAGAGAATAAGTATTCCAGAACACTTAATTGTACTCACGAGGAACCTGCACACAGACCAAAAGACAGTTGTTTCTATGGAACAAGAGAACACTGAATGTTCTAAAATTAGGAAAGGTGTGTGCCAGGGTTGTATTTTTTTCACCATACTTATTCAGTCTGTATGCTAAGCAAATAATTTAAGAAGCTGGATTACATGAAGGAAAATGTGGCATCAGAATTGGAGGAAGACTCATTAACAACCTGTGATATATTGATGATACAACCCTTCTTGCTCAAAGGGAAGAGGATTTAAAATACTGATGAAGCTCAAAGACTACAAGCTTTCGATATGGGTTACATGTCAATGTACAGAAAATAAAAATCCTTACCACTAGACCAATAAATAACATCATGGTAAATGGTGAAAAGATTGAAGAAAAACTTAAATTTGCTCAAATCAGCCATCAGCACAAAGGGAAGCAGCAGTCAAGAAATCATACAATGTATTGCATCAGGCAAATCTACTATATAAGACGTCTTTAAAGTGTTCAAGAGGAAGATGTCAGCTTGAGGAGTAAGGTGCGCCTGGCCTAAACCATGGTATTGTCAATAACCTCATATGCATGTGAATGTTGGACAGTGTATCAGGAAGACCATAGAAGAATAGATGTGTTGGAGGAGAGTATTAAAAGTACTGTGGACTGCCAGAAGAATAAACAAATCTGCATGGGAAGAAGTACAGCCTAAATACTCCTTAAAAGCCAGGATGGTCAGACTTCGTCTCATACTTCAGACATATTGATAAAGAATTCTGAGGAAAGTCTAAGATTCATGTTGGACAACATGAAGAGGACTAACTTAAGAATTATCGGCAATCCAGAACAAGAAGAATCACACAAGTCCACAGAGGAAATAGTCGAAGAACTGCTGGAAGAAAATTTCTCTAACATCCTGAAAAGTGAAAAAATAAATACATTCAAGAAGCTCAACAAACTCCAGGAAGGGTAGACCCCAAAAGAAAATCACCAAGACATATCATAGTCAAACTCTCCAAACTCAAAGATAAGGAGACACTTTTGAAAGCAGCCAGAGAAAACAGAAGGGTCACATACAAAGGCAAGCAAGTCAGATTAAGCTCGGATCTCTCAGCAAGAACGAAGACAATGGGGAAACATATATAAAAGAAAAAAAAAAAAAAACTGCCAACCAAGAATCCTTTATCCAGCAAAGCTATCAATCAAATATGATGGTGTAATCAAAACATTCCAGGATAAACAGAAACGAAGGGATTTTACCAAAGCCAACCCTGCGCTACAAAACATCCTTAAAGGAGTTCTGTGGACTGAGAACCAACAAGAATAGACAACAACCAGAGATTGACATATATCCCTGAATTAAGTCAACAGAAAGAAGAGTTGTTAACAAAATAAAACTATAAGAACTCAAGAGAATCTGGGAGGTCAGTTTATGATCAAAACAAGTACAGTGTAAAAGAAGGTAAGCACGTAGGAACAAAGATCCAGATAGTGAGAAGGTCAGGTTGATTACAGGATAAAATAGACTGCACTAAATGGACAGAAAAGTTAATGGACTATGAGGCAACCTCAAAGAAAATGAACACTTCAAAACATACCAAGAGAATGAAAATCCAAGAAGAATATGAAAACATTAAAACTATGAGTAAACTCACAAGAAAGAACACAAAAATCATGAACTCAACAAAGGAAGACAAACAGAACAAAGAAGCAGCAACACCACAAAAAAACAAATATAATGGCAGCAATTAATCATACGTCGGACATATTATCAAAAGGGACCCGTCCCTGGAGAAGGACATCATGCTTTGTAAAGCAGAAGGTGAGCGAAAAAGAGGAAGGCCCCCAATAAGATGATTTGGCACAGTGGCAGCAGCATTGGCTCAAGTGTAGCAATGATTGTGAGATTGGTGCAGGATGGGGCAGTGTTTTGTTCTGTTGTGCGTAACGTCTCTATGAGTTGGTACAGACTCAACGGCACCTAACAAGAAAGCAAGCTAAGTGCTGTCCCATCGTTCTCATTCATAGCGACCATGTATAGGATTTTTAAGGAGCAGCTGATGGGTTTGAACCCTCGACCTTTGGTTAACAGACCAGTACTTATCTTACAGCACTGCAACAGGACTTCTAGATGAAGACAGTATCCTAGAACTATATCAGGTCATAGGGTAAGGTGCTGCACTGTAGGATAAGCACTGGACTACCACTAACCACAAGGTCAGTGGTTGAAACCTTCCAGTTGTTCCTAAGAAACCCTAGACAGGGTCACTGTGGGTCTGAGTAGACTCGACGGCACCTCCCAACTGCACGGTAATGCAGTGATTCAAACCCACCAACTGCTACTGGAAACCCTAGACAGGTCACTTTGAATTGGAACCAACTGAACCACAACAACAGATTAAGGAACTGTGCAACAATAGTTTCACAGAACAGGAGAACTGTGGAACAAGTTAATAAGAAACATGATTTTTTTTTTTTCTTTTTATTATGAATTGAGTGAATGTTTAAAGAGCACATCAGTTTTCCATTCAACAGTTCATACACATTTTGCAATCTCCATAATGTGATGTCACATCCTACTTCCTTTATGTTTCCTGTTTCAGTTCCTCCTTCTCTCCTAACCCGTCTGAACTTTGTCCTTGGGTAAATGTGACCATTTTGAATTCAAACGGCTGATTATTCCAAAATGTGCACACTTACTTAGGGTTATTGTTCCCCTCTAGATCTGTCTATTAGGAGTCCTGGTGGGGTGCTCAGGTCAACCACCAACACTCAGAGAAGCAGCAGTCAAGAAATTAATGATATGGACTACAACGTCGGTTTGAACCACAAAGTTGGCTGTTCAAGCTCACCAGCTGCTCCTCAGAAACTCTATACTGGGTTGCTGTGGGTCAGAACTAACTCAATGGCACATAACAACAACAACAATTGTGTAACTGAAACTTGTGCTGTGGGGCGTGAGTTCAGTTCCAGACCTGAAGGGTGACTAACGGCCATAGTCTCGGCGATTCTACCAGTTTTTATGCAACCCTGGTCTTTTTTATGATTTTGAGTTTTGTTCCACCTTTGTCTCTTACTCTCTCCAGGACCTTGTAATGCAGTTCCTTTCAGAGCAGTAGGTGGTGATAGCCAGGCACCATCTAATTCTTGTCTCAGGGTCATGGAGATGGATGCTCACGCGCTCCTTCAGTCTGTTGAACTAATTTGTTTCCATGTGCCTTTGATTTTCATCACTCTTCTTTCCTCCAAACAGGCAGAGATGAATAGTTACAGCTTAGATGGTCACTCATGAGCTTTTAACACCCTCATCACTACTCACCAAAATTGGATAAAGAACATGGTCTTTGTGGACTATGTTCTGCCAGCTGACCTTAGTGTCTCCTGAGACCATGGTCCTGAGCCCCCAGGCCCACAGCTCATTCCCTCAGGGTGTATGGTTATGGCTAAGAAGTTTTCATAACTTCCCCTTGTATTCTCCTCCACATTCATGGTATGGTTGCAGCAATGTACATATACCCTCTGTGAAACCGTATAGAATCATGGGCATATTCCCACTCACCCTTCAACACCCATTTGGCCCCCATGTCTATCCCTGCATCTTCTTGTGGAGCACTGTGATTGCTGGAATGTGTCTATGATAGTGCTTACCTTGGAGTAAGCACTCGCACCCCAGAAGTATCTTCCCCTGCAGCCTGCAGGTTTTGCCGACCTCCCTCTTATTGTTTATTGCCTTTTCCCTTCACCCAAGTTAGCACATGTCTGTCCTCTAGCCAGTAACTTACTCTCCTAAATAATGTTGTTGTTAAGTGCTGACGAGTCGACTCTGACTCATAGCGACCCTGTATAGTGTTTCCAACAAGTGATTGGTGGGTTTGAACCGACAGTCTCATGGTTCAAACCACCCTTGCGGTCCAGTGTTTACCCTCAGTGCCACAGCAGGACTCCCACTGTGGTAACCATCACAGAATGTATCTTTTAGCGTGAAAACTTTTTCTTGACTTTTCATACCAGTTGTCTCATTCAGTGCTTGTCCCTGCCTAATTTCACTCAGCCTTGTGTCCTCTAGATCTGTCCATGTTATGAGGTGTTTCATAGATTCATTGTTCTTCTGTAGTGTTGCATAGTATTCCATTGTATGCCTGCATCATTGTCTGTTTAAAGTTAATCTTGAAGGAGCTATAAGACATCTTACATTTTAAGAATTGGAGAGCGTTTTGTTGGATGAAATCATACGAAAAGAGATGCAGAAGGGAAACCTGTGTAGGCTACCTGGAAGGAAGGATCTCAGTCGAATAAGAACAACAGCACTCAATGGGCGTGGTGAGAGGACTAAACAGGCACTTTGAGGAGTCTCAGTGTGTCAAAGGAGCTGTGGTATTGCATGCTTATTGTGTTGCAGACCTTTTGCTTCATTCTTTATGCACATTGCCACCTAATTCTCCCAGAAATCTCTCAAAGTAGATTAGAACACAGAAATTGTATATATACCAAACACAGATGAGCCTCTAGTCATTGATTTATTTGTTCATCAAATATTTATTGAAAATTTGCTGTGTGCCAAGAACTTGCTATCCTGGGCCTGGGGTGAACAGCAGTAAACAAGACAGACCTGTTCCCTGCCTCTTGGAACCTAGTCTAAGGAGGAGGCCGATAACAAGCAAATACTATTAAGTGAATATCGACAAATGCTGTGAAGGTCACAGACAAGCTTTCGGATGGAAACTATTGGGTGATGAGGGAAGTGCTCCTGAGACAGCAGTGTGGTGAGTCATTGCTGCAAGTGAGACTGCAGAGCTCAGTCACTCATCATTCTCCCACCTCAGTAACTGAGAAGGCAGGGGAGAAGAGACCTGTGGGTGGGCTTAGGGTCACCAGTCCAGTGTTTGCCATAGACAAGGCACTAACGACACAGAAAAAAACAAAAGCAGGTTTGGGCGTAAAATCAAGAATTCAGTTTCATTTCATTCATTAACATAACTCATGCAAAGAAGATCTGTTATTATCTCTGTTTTACATGTGAGGAAACTGAGGCCCAGATGGGGAAAATGAATTTTCTAAACTCAGGCCACAAGTAAGGGATACAGCTCAACTTGAACCGAAGCTCTGGTGAAGCTAGAGCCACGCTCCATGCTTTAGAATGCGACACTACACTCTTGCTTACAGCTTTGCTCTGAGTCAGACCAGCCCACAGGCCTAAGAATCAGAAACTCGACCGCAAGGTTGGTGGTTCAAACTCACCAGCTACCCCTCAGAAATCCTATATACAGAGTCACTGAGTCAGAACCAGTTTGACGGCATTTAACAACAACAGCATGTAAAGAGTAGATTTGATATATATGGTAGATTATATTTATAGTAGATTATATATATATTTATTGTTAAATACCATCAAGCCGGCTCCGACTCATAACAACCCTGTTCTGACTCATAGCAAACCCTGTATAGGGTTTCCAAGGAGCAGCTGGTGATTTGAAGCACCAACCTTGCGGTTCAAATTGAACTTATGGTCCAGTGCTTATCCTACAGAGCCACACCAGGACTCCATATATACATATATATGTAATTCACAGATATATACACATATATGTAATTCACAGATATATACATATACATGTAATTCACAGACATATACATATACATGTAATTCACAGATATATACACATATGTAATCCACACACATATACACATATATGTAATTCACATATATATAATATACATGTAATTCACAGATACTTAATATTTGTTGAATGGATGCATTCATCTTGCAATAGATTTTCTTTTACCCTTAAAATTCTACATTAAGTCTTATTGCCACTAGGTGGTAGCAGTGTTCAGTCATAGCCATTTATTTGGCGCAAAGAGACTCATGTCCAAGAAGGTCTCACTTAACTCACTTAAGTGACTTTAAAAAAACAATTTTTTAAAATAGTTACTAATATGCTAAACATGAAAGCCTAGAGTCTTGGGAGCAAGCTTTTAAATAAATATATATCAACGAAGGACTTTTCATGGAGGGCAAACCACAGTAACGTATTTCAAGTCTTTATCTTATTGACTGGCCTTTGACTTTGCTTTTCTTGGTAGCCTCATTATCTGAGTTTGGAGTTCAGAACATTCCTAAAACAGAGGTGGGCCACGCAGTTTCACTAGACTGGTGAAATCTTCCCAGCTTTTGTGTTTGTCTCTCTATGAGAAAACCTTGGTTTACTTTTTCCAATACTCTCTTGTAAAGCGTTTCTATAACCTTTGTCCATGAAGAAAAATGCAGAAAGAAATGAAGCCTGATTGAAAACTCTGTGATCACTTAGCCTTGAAGAAACAGAGAACGTAAAAACAGTGACATTTCAGTGACAAGACAGGACAAAAATTGGAGAACAGAAGATTTTAAGAATTGCTTGCCAAGATGGGAAATACCTAATTCTTGGTAAGAATTAGGGGAGATGGATAACTGGCATCTGTAAACCAGGAAGACACAGCTGCAGAATTCCCATGGCAAAGAAAACTTCAACAAATGTCTGATGCACTCTTGTGGGCTCTTGGGGCATCTCCATTCTGCTCCTCCATTCTGGGGATGATTGGTTGTCAGCGTTCCTCTCACTAAGAGACCCCGGAATCAGCCTCCTCCCCCTTCTACCACCAGCCACTTGATACTGAACCAGGGTGACTCAGGAATTTTCCACTGTCAAACATTCTTACCTTTCAAAACACTTTGTACTAGTAGTGCTCACTACACTGATGGATTGAACTTTGTTTTTTTTAAACATAGGAAGCCTGATGTTACTTTGGATTATATGCTTCCAAGAAAACCAAGTTTGTCATCTGATAGTAATAAAACGTTTTGTATGATTGGCCATTGTTTACCATCCCAAGAAGAATGTTTGCAATTGGCTGGGAAATGGAACCTAGGGAATTTGCTCCTCTTTAATGGTATGTTTTCCCTCTTGAAATATTTACTTTTTGTTGTTGTTGTTTTTCACTTAATAAGTATTGAGCTAATAAGTAAATTATCCTAGCCAAAATCATTCATGTATTATCACCTGTCACTAGAGGGTAAGTACTGGGGACTGCTAATCGCAGGGTCGGCGGTTCAAACCCCCAGCACCTCCACAGAAGATGAAGCTGTTTGTTCTCTTATTTAAGATTTACAGTTTTGGAAACTTAACGAGCAGTTCTTCTCGGTCTCTATAGGGGGCACTGTTAGTTGGAATTGATTCAGTGGTAGTGGGTTTGGTATTGTCTAGATTAAAATACACTTTTAAATCCAGATATGTCTTACAATTGATAAATACATTCTGTGTATTAAATTCACAGTATTTCACAGTCCTTGAAAACGTAGTATTATAACTATTAAACTTAGATGTGTTTTTTTTTTGTTTATAATTTTGGTATATCCAGTACAAAAACCAGAAGCCCTGGTGGCGCTGTAGAATGAGCACTAAACTGCTAACTCAAGGTCAGCAGTTCAAATCTACCCGCCACTCCATGGGAGAAAGAGTAGAGGTTTTTGCTCCAGTAGAGATGTACAGCCTTGGAAACCCTATACAGCATTGGCATGGGTCGGTATTGACTTGTTAGTAATGCATTTGCTTTCAATATGCAAATACGTATTGTATAGGGGAAGGAAATACATGATTTAAAAATATATTATTAAACCTGACTTCAGATGGATAATGAATGGAAAGAAGAAATAAAGATATCATTTCAAATTACATTTTAAAATGAAATGTACCAAGGTAGACTTTTCATTAAGGAGGCCTGGTGACGCTGTAGGATAGGCACTGGACTGCGCATCGTAACATCAGTAGTTCATACCCACGGGAGAAAGATGAATCTTTCTGCTCCTGTGAAGATGGATAGCTTTGGAAACCCTGTACAGGGTTGCTATGAGGTGGAGTCGACTTGATAGCAGTGGGTTTGTGTTATTGTTTTATAGTTCCCATTTCTTTAACACAACTGAACAAAATGAAACACCTATTTTTTGTTTTAAGAGTTTTATAATTTGTTTTAAATAGAATAATTTGTTTTCCATCAGAGTTGGCATAGGTTAATTTTTTCATTATACCAATTTGAAAATTGAGACTATCAATTTCATAAGACATAGTAGGCAACCTAAGGAATCTTGCAAAAAAAAAATGATCTTCATTTCTTGCATTTAATGATAAATTCTTGTTGTAGTGTTTTAAATAACTAACTTAATTTTTCTGCTATTCAGGAGCTAAGATTGGCTCACAAGAGGCCTTTTATCTCTATGCTTGTGGGCCCAACTATACATCTATAATGCCATGTAAGTATGGCACGCCAGTGAATGATTACTCCAAATATGTTACTAAAGAAATCTTGCAATCTGAACAAATCAGAGAACTTTTTATGACCAAGAAAGAGGTGGACTTTGGTGTCTTAATTGTAAGTTTCAATTGTATTACTTTATAGTAACTATATATATATTTATTGAAGTATAATTAGCTATGAATTTCTAAAGTTTTTCTATTTCATTCTTTTAACATTTTTTTTTTTTTCTGAGAACGTTTTGTTTTTTTCCCTGAACAAACTTTGACCTCTTCTTTAAATCTGTTTTCAGGTTTAAAATGTTTATCCTTTCTTTAGAATTTTATGTCTATACTACTTATCAGTTTAGTCTATACTAATCATTCAGGACAAAATAATTGTGATACAGTGAAAATACAATACTTGATAGTGATCTAGCATACTCCTCAAAGCAGTGCTCTTTATAGTCCTTTTCCGTACAATAAAGAAATACTCATTGTTACTCAGGATCCATTTTAGTTACGTGTATTCTGTTTGGGAAAATGTAGTTTATAGTATCTTTAGCAATTTTGCTTTCAAGTGATTGCTAGTTTTGTTTATATGAGACTCAGATTGTTTTTTATATATTCTTCTAATATTTTTGGAGTCCTGGCTTGGCACCATAGGATAAGCACTAGACTACAAGGTCAGTTTGAACCTCAAGGTTGGTGGCTCAAACTCATCAACCGCTTCTTGGAAACCCCATATAGGGTCGCTCTAAGTCAGACCTGACTCAATGCCACTTGACAACAACAATGTACAGTTTGGAAGTGCAGTGGCTTTGTATGGTAAGTACTAGACTGGTAACCACAAGGTCAGCGGTTCAAACTCACAGCAACTGAACCTTCACAGTCTTAGAAGATCTGCTAAAAACCAGTAGACTTGGTTCTGATACTGTGCTCTTCCTTCTCTTACTTCCTTTGCTGTTGTTTTTGTTAAGTGCCTTCAAGTTGGCTCCACCCCATAGCGACCCTGTGTAGAGTTTCCAAGGAGCAGCTGGTGAACTTGAACCATCGACCTTGTGGTTCAAACTAACATTGCAGTCCAGCACATTAACACACAATACCACAGCCGGACTCCTGTAGGAAGGATAGATTATAGGCCAGAGGTATTTTGTGCTTGAAATAGACAACTGTCTTAAAAAGTATTTTTGGTTGCTTTTCAAGTATATATTTTACAATAAAAACAAATTATATTTTATAACTGTTGCAACATTCCATGTGAAAAGAGCTCAGATAACACGGTGGGTTACGAGCTCATAATCCACTATGTTACCTGAGCTCTTTTCACATGGAATATTGTTGTTAAGTGCTGTCAAGTCGGTTCCAACTCATTGCGAACCTGTGTAGGGTTTCTGAAGAGCAGCTGGTGAGTTCGTTTGAAGAGCTTGTTTTTTTTTTTTTTTTAAAAAAACAAATGCAAAGATTATTTGGGTGTCTTTTCCTTTTGAAATATTTTATTGCTAGTTGATAACTCACTTTTTAAACTTTTGTTGAGTTACTGAAGAAAAATCTTTGTGTTTCAGGAAAGTCTTTCAATAGTTTATACAACTTACTGTCCTGCTCAGTATACCATCTATGAGCCAGTTATTAGACTTAAAGGTCAGATGAAAACCCAGCTCTCTCAAAGACCCTTCAGCTCGAAAGAAGTTCAGAGCATCTCATTGGAGCCACATCAACTCAAGAATCTCCAGCCCACGGAATGTAAAACTATTCAAGGTGTTCTGCACGAGATTGGTGGGACTGGCATATTTGTTTTTCTTTTTGCTAGGGTAAGAATCACTGTTTATAGTTTTTATCTAAAGATAAACTTCTTCCTTATTATTGATTGTTCTTGTTAAGTGTCATCGCGTCGGTTTGACTCATAGCAGCCCTGTATAAGGTTTCCGAGGAGTGGCTGGTGAGTGTGAACCTCCAACCTTGGGGTTCAAACCAACCTTTTGGTCAAGTGCTTATCCTACAGCATCTCACAAGAAGTCCTGGTATCTCCAAGTATAGCTTCTGCTATATGATCACATTTTCTCAGTGTCTCCCTAACTGGCTTTTTGACTAGGACCACTTTTTTTTTTTAAGTTTTTATTGTGAATTGAGCGATAGTTTACATGAGAGAACATCAGTTTTGTACTCATCATCTCATTGGAATGATTATAGTCTCCTCCATGCATCATCATTCAATAGTGTTTGCTTCTATTACTTCTGTTTTTTGGTTTTGGGGGGATGTACCCAAAGGAGTATATAGTCATTTAAACAACCAAAGGGCACATTCTTCAAGCTTGTATCCTGGCCGCCAGCACGCAGCCTTTCTCTTTCCATGAGTCTAGAGTCCTCAGCTGCTCTATCTCTCCATGACTAGGATCACTTTTAAATACTTTTGCAGTAAGGTACTCTATTAATTTCTTAGGGCTGTTGTAATAAATTACCCCAACTTGGTGGCTATTAAAACAACAAAAATTCATTCTCTAACAGTTGTGGGAACCAAAAATCCAAAATCAAGGTATTGACAAGGTTGGTTCCTTTCTGGAGGTCTAAAAGAAGACAGTTACTGGGCCTGTCTGTTAGCTTCTGGTGTTGATGGCAAATCCTTGGGGGTCTTGGCTTTTAGCTGTACCACTTGAGTCTCTATCTTCACATGGCCTTCCCTCATATGTGGAATCTCCTCCTTCCTTTTATAATGATGTCAGTTTGGGGATTCAGTAGTGCTGTCAGATCAGCATGGACTATGAAGTACATGGTTGGCAGTTCAAACCCAGCAACTGCTCCTTGGAAACCCTATGCAGGGTGGCTGTGAGTTGGAATGAACTCAACAGCACTTAACAACAACAAAAACAAACCCAGAAAGATCTTACCTTGACGTCTTTAACTTTATTAGATCTACAAAAAGCATGGACTATATGGCTTTCTCTTAATTTTGTGTATCAACATAATGTGTGGGCATTAAAACGTAGACTTCTCTACAGTTATGTAATCTAACACATAGTATTACCTAAAATAGATAATTTCGCATGTTAAATTCTTACTTTAAACAAACTAAAAGAGAAAATATCCACTTCGTTTTAGGTTGTTGAGCTTAGTAACTGTGAAGAAACTCAAGCATTAGCCCTACGAGTTATCCTCTCACTAACTAAACACAACCAACAAAGAATACGGGAGTTAGAAAATGGTAACGGCCTTTCCATGGTTCACCAGGTGTTGGTCAAACAGAAATGCATAGTTGGCTTCCAGATTTTGAAGGTAAGAGCTCCTGAAGGGCATTCTCATGATTTCAGATAGCATCCTGTCTCTGCTGGGGTGTCCCAACCGTAGTTAGTGTTTTGCCACACTGATTTCCTAAGATAATGAAGGAAACATAGGAGTGTATAAATAATCAAAGTAAGATACTCTTTTGATTTAGATAATGACTTCTTCATTATTTAGATAATGACTTTTCTTTAAAGTATTTTGGAGGACTAAGCTCTTAGATGTCTCGGCACCCACAGCTTAAGCCAGACACATGCTGTTGTTAAGTGCCGTCAAGTCGGTTCCAACACATAGGAACCCTGCGTAGGGTTTCCAAGGAACAGCTGGTGGGTTTGAAGCTAGTGCCCTGCCATTTCCATTATGCGATGATGCTGTAGAATTTCTAGTCAATGACCTATAGACCGGATATCCATGTTAGCTTTTATGAACACCCACCTTTATTTAAATACCTCTCTGGTTAAAAGCATTTGTCAACATTATGAAAGTATTTCTCCCTGAAGCAAATCTTTTTACCCTTGCTAACAGCCCTTACCGCCTACTTCTCAAGATCTGTACTTATCTGGAGTGAATCTTTACCACTTTTAAAAAGACATTTTATAACAGTAGCAGATTTACTTAACTTTGGAAAAAAAAATGTAATTTATTTTATCTCTTGTTTGAAACTGAGTAATCATTATAAATATTTGAAAGTTTGAATTCTACTAACTATTTGAATTATTTTACTAAATATATTAAAAGTGCTTGTAAAATGTTAAATCATCCGCTTGTAGTCCTTTGAGTTTGTTATGATTGCTAAGATTGAAAACTTAATTTTTCTGTTGAGTATTTAAATTAATAGTTATTAATGCATTTCATAGTAATGTTAATCTGTTAATTTTCCGTAGACCCTTCTTGAAGGGTGCTGTGGTGAAGATATGATTCATGTCAATGAGAAGGGAGCGTTTAAGTTGGCTGTAGAATCTAATGCTATCATCCAAGATGTTAAACTGTTAGAGGAGCTATTGTTTGACTGGAAGATATGGCATAAAGCAGAGGTATGTACTCTTAAATATTTATCTATTCACTCTTCTGAAGAGCAGAATAAATGACTAGTTCAGTGTCATGTTCACTGTAAATTAAAGTATGGCGATTGTTTTCTGTAGAAAGTTTTCAGCAGCCTTGGGGGTGATAGTGAGCTGGGTCAGAATCAGAACTTGGGCTGGTGGGGAATAAGCTGATGGAACTGGAGAACAGGGGGCTCATTTGGCTCAGTTTGGGGCTTGCATTTACCATAAACTCTGGAAAGAGAGTCTTGGTAATACTCTGGGGCTTAGGTCCAGGAGAGGGAAGGGGACACACTTCTGAGTAGGGGAGCCAAGCTTACCAAGTATCACAGAGTTGTGACCAGACAAGGCTCTGAAGCCTTAGCTTCATTGCAAACGTTAGGTAAGGGCCACAGATCTTAGGTGTAGGCACAGCATCTCAACATCTGGAATGATGGAGCTGGTCTTCTCAACGATCCAACCTGGGTAGGGCTCCCTGATTTCTTTCTACCTTAGTTTTAACACAGTATAAGCTTCCTGGTATAGGTTCAGACAGATCCCTTAGTTCTAATGTAGACTGTTCCCCTTAAATATAGCAGGGTTCTGTGGCGCTGTGGGTTAATGAGCTGAACTGCAAGGTTGGTTTGAAGCGCAAGGTCAGCAGTTCAAACTCACCAGCTGCTCCTCAGAAACCCTATATAGGGTCACTATACATCAGAACCAACTTGACGACACTTAACAGTAGACATTGGTGATTTTTATTAAGAAAAAAAAAAAGTTGCCTGGAGTTAACATTATCATCACACAATTTTTTAATAAAGAGAAATTCAGAGTATATAACTTTAGAATTTTTTAGCAATTGATTATTCCTGAATTTGATAAGCATACTTAAAATTTTGCATAGCATTGCTAATAATGAGTTACAAAGTTGAGAAAAATTTGTCTAGTTTGTCACTAATAAATAATAAATTTTGATAAAAAACACTATAGAAAAGACAGTTATCTTCTTATTCTTCCTATAGCATATCATATTACAAAATTATTATATGAAGGGGCAGCCCAAGTGTATCAGTCACAAAATACAGTGAAAAAGTATTATAGAGATGTGTCAGGCAGATGAATAACTATTGTTATTTTTCTGGATTTTGTGGTGTTTATGATATTTGTCCCACCACCCATCTGTCAGTTTGTCATACTGTGGTGGGTTGTGAGTTGCTGTGATTCTGAAAGCTATGCCATCAGTATTATAAATATCAGTAGGGTCACCCATGGTGAACAGGTTTCAAATGAGCTTCCAGATGAAGGACAGACTAGGACAAGCTACTTCTGAATATTTAGTCACTGAAAACCTTATGAATAGCAGAGAAACACTGTCACATATAGTGCCGGAAAATGAGCCTCTCGGGTTGGAAGGCACTCAAATTGCGACTGGCGAAGAGCTGCCTCCTCAAAGTAGAGTTGACCGTGATGATGCGAATGGAGTAAAGCCTGTGGGAGAAAAGCCCGTGGGACCTTCATTTGCTGATTGGGCACAACTCAAAATGAAGAAAAACAGCCGTAAACACCCATGGAAAATCAGATCATGGAATGTACAAAGTATGAATCTGGGAAAATTGGAAGTTGTCAAAAATGAAATGGAACGCATAAACATTGGTATCTTAGACATTAGTGAGCTGAAATGGACTGGTTTACTATGCTGGGAATGACAAATTGAAGAGGAATGGTGTTGCATTCATCGTCTAAAATAACATATCCAGATCCGTCATGAGGTACAGTGCTGTCTGTGATAGGATAAAATCCATGTGCCTACAGGGAAGCCCAGTTAATACCACTGTTATTCAAATTTATGCACCAACCACTAAAGCAAGTGAGGATGAAATAGAAGAATTTTACCAACTTCTTCAGTCTGAAATTGATCAAACATGCAATCAAGATGTATTGATCATTACTGGTAATTGGAATGTAAAGGTTGGGAGCAAAGAGGAAGGATCAGTAATTGGAAAATATGGCCTTGCTGATAGAAATTATGCTGGAGATCACATGATAGAATTCTGCAAAATCAATGATTTGTTCATTTCAAATACCTTCTTTAGACAGCATAACAGACAACTATACACATGGACCTCACCAGATGAAATACATAGAAATCAAATTGACTACATCTGCTTAAAGAGACGATGGAAAAGCTCCATATCAACAGTGAAAACAAGGCCAGGGCAGACTGTAGAACAGACCATTAATTACTCATCTGAAAATTCAAACTGAAGCTGAAGAAAATGAAAACAAGTCCACAGGAGACAAAATATGACCTTGAATATATCCCACTTGAATTTAGAGATCATATGAGGAACAGATTCGATACATTAAACACTAAAGACCGAAGACCAGAAGAGTTGTTGGAAAACATCAAGAACATTATACATGAAGAAAGCAAAAAGTCATTAAGGATTTAAGAGGTTGGCAGCTGCAGAACAGAGTCAGGTAGGACAGGCTCCGTGGGGGAGGGGCTGAAAACCCAGAGATGGGACTCTCATGAAACTACACCAGAGCTCTGGATCTAGCATAAGGGTCTGGGTGTCAGTTTCCCGCAACCACAAGTGGAAAACTCACGGTATAAAGGGAAACATTGCATTTTAGAAATTGGTGTGGGACTCCCTCTGCAGCCATCTCACCCAGGACTACAGACAGACTGGCACAGGGAACCTGTGCTAATGCAGGGAAGCGACATATGCAAAAGGAGGTGTGGAGGGACTCTGCACGGTTTTTTACCTCCTCTTCCCTGGCATGCCTTCTTTGTCCAGCCCGGAACCTTCAGGCGGGTGGGTGCACAACCCAAAAAGTCCAGCATTGAGACCACAGCTTTCCCATGGCACACAGAGAGAAAGAGCTCCATCGGTCCAAGGGCAAATCCTTTGACTGCTGCTTTTGACTTCTGCCTGTGGGTCCCAGCCATAAAGTGAACTTGTGTGGGACCATTAACCCTTGCTTACCCAGAAAAAAAAAAAAAATCATATTTGGCCTGACAGATAAACCATGTGAACATTCTGTAAAACCCCAACATAAAAAGACACAACTATTTCAAGGATTACGCTGTGCACACTTAGGTACTTAACTGACCTTCAGAGACAAAAATAGTAAACAATCTTTCTCCCGCTAACTTCTCAGTGTCTATCTGTGCACCTGTATGGTGGTAACTAAGGGAGGGGCCTGAGTGAGTAGACACCCCAACCCACTGCTGGAGGCTTCTACAGTGCACACATACAATTTTATTTTATTTTATTTTATTTTTGGCTTTATCAACTTTTTTTCTTTATTGAATTTTTATTCTCCTTTTACTTGAATCTATCTACACGATTTACAAACACATTCAGATTATTCCTAATTTAAAAAACTCTCTTAATTTTGCTGTTATTTTCTTGTCTCTGTCTTCATTCTTTTTTTTTTTTTAATGTTTTATTGTTTACATGAGAGAACTTTAGTTTTACATTCATTCCATCGTATATCATCTCATTGCCATGGTTCCAGTCCCCTCCATGCATCATCAACCAATCAAAGGGTATATCCTAGAAACCCACCCCCTACACATCCCCCCCTCTCCCCAAGTTTTCGGCCCACAGTCCCTTTCCCTCTCTGGATCCAAAGTCCCTAGCTGCTTCATCACTCCACATCATCGTCTCTGTCTCCATCTCAGGCATCTCTGATTCTCTGGGTAGGGTCCCGCTCTCGGCTCTTCTCCATTGATGGTCCCAGAGACCTCTGCTCCTAGA